AGTCTCACAGTCTCTCCTGCCCGGGCTGGCTTTGAACTGCGATCCTCAGATCTCAGCCTCCTGAGTAGCTAGGATTACAGGCGTGAGCCACCAGCACCCGGCTCCTTTGATTTCTTGTACTGTGTTCAGCTTACCGAATCCAGTGGTCTTCCCAGAGCTGGTATTCAGGGAAAATGGCAGGGGACGCATTACTCCGCTCATGTTCCTTTTTGGCTTTGTCCATTGCTTTTTCATAGGATTCCTGAGCCTAGAACATCAACAACGTTGTCAAGTCACCATTTAACAATACACCTGCTGTTACCACCACTGCACAACTGATGGGTAGTGAATTACAGGCTTGGGGGCAGGCCTCGGGCTCTTGTCCAAGGATACCGGACGTCCCAGACTCCCGATGCAGGGAAAGACAGGAGGGGAGCAAGGCGGGGTGACCCCACACAGAAAAGGAGAGATTGTCCACAGTTGGGACTCATTTCTGTCTTTTAATGATCAAGAGTTACAAGACCAGGCAAATGTTTGAGTTTCTGTGTCCTTGTGTCTACACCTCACAACACGGGCTGCGCCACAGCAGGATAATTGTGGCTTTGAAATTTAAACACTAAAAGCAATCTATCTACCTATCTACCTACCTACCTACCTTTTAAAACAACCTTATTGACATCCAATGCTAAGAGATTTATGGCTGTACTTTAAACATATTAGTGTCACTATGTAGACTTCTCTCACATTAGGGCTTTGATTTAGAGCCTCAGGTAAGCTTCAAATGCTTCAAATAAAACAGTATGGATGGGCAGGGAGAGTTGGTGGTAAGAGTGTCTGCCTTGCATACATGGGACCAAAAAAAACCCTACAGGCTCAAATACTAATTTTCTCCCTCAAATGTGACCTAACTTGAAGATGAATGACATTACCAAATTCCTAGAAACAAGATCCAACCGAGCTACCTGCTCAAAGAAGCCATGCTGCTCATAAGCGATCGCAGTTGCTGTCTCTGAATATTTGCACCGCTTCTGCCACAAACCGGCCCACATGTCCTCCTCTTGCAGCAGAGAGTAAAGCTCAGCCAGGGAATCCAGTATCTCCTGAAAACAGATCCGTTTCTGGTGCTTAGGACAAATGTGTGCTTCATTCAATAAAGCAATTTCACTGTACTATAGTTGTAAGTATCACTTGGGAGATGGAACAGGGAAAGCAGCACTCAGTGGAGTGAGGTGCGGCCTCACCTGCTGCGGAGGTGTGATGCTCTCCTGCTCATAAAATTCTGTCGTTTGCTTTGGCTTAATCTGCAGACTCAGACCTTTTTCGAAAGCCTGGTGCTCCAGCATCAATGTGGAACGGAACCAGAGGTTGTGTGTCTTCCCCAGATATTTCAGAACACAGGGTCGGATGGGGATCGGAGGGACACACTGGGACATGGCTTCCACAAAGCAGTTCAATGCACTCGGCTGGCAGTCCCGCTGTACCTGGTGACTACCACTGCACAGGAACGGACTGATCTCCCCGGCCAGAGCCTGCAAGCACACAGTATGTCTTTTAGGTCTGAATTCAAAACTGCCAAGTCTGAGCCAAGCATAGTGGTACACACCTGCAATCTCCAATACTCAAGAGGCCGAGGCAGGAGGATCCTGACTTTTAGGCCAGGCCAGCCTGGGTGACACAGCAAGACCTTCTCCTCTCCTCCCACCAGAGAAAAACTCACACCCACAACACAAATAAAAAAACACTTGGCAAAAAAAAAACAACAAACAAACACTTGGCAAGTCCTTGCTTCCTCTCACAAGGCACCTAGAATGCGTTGGTAATTCACCTGTGGATAATAGCAGTTTCTTCACCCTTTGATATTGAAGAGTGTTCTCTCCTGAATACTCAGCAAAAGCTCAAAGTATATTTTTCCGGGGCAGAATTTCAGAAACCAACTCACATGCTGCTGTCTGTCTGAGAGGATCTTCCAGAGTCTAGGGAAAAGCTGGACCCAGGTTTTCTCTGCCAGTGTTGTGGAAATGTGGCACAGCTGAACAAAGGCGCTGAGCAGTGCTCCCGTCTGGGACAGAAAAAGATGTGCTTAGATATGCCTCCCAAATCCATGCCTAGAAAACCACTGGCGAGCCAGTATGGATGAAGTGACCATCATCCATACAAGGCCTTTGGGTTTAGAGACCCTGATGCATAGATCTCCTTTCTGGCAACAATAGTGGCTGGGAAGGGACAGGGAGCTATGCATGAGAACTTGCCACCTACCTATGTAAGGGGCTCCGCTTCCAGCTCCACCCAGCAGAAAACCAAGCATTTTATGGTTATCCAAGAAGATGATGGGAAGCAAATACAAGTTCAAATACTTTACTGTACAAGCTATTGATAAGTTTTTATTTCTTTTTCTTGCTGGTTGTGGGGCTTGAACTCTGGGCTTGGACACTGTCCCTGGGCTCCTTTTGCTCAAGGCTAGTGTTCTACCACTTGAGCTAAAATGCCATTTCCAGATTTTTCTGGTGGTTAGTTGGAGATAAAGAGTATCACAGACTTTCCTGTGCAGGTTGGCGTCGAACCATGATACTCAGATCTCAGCCTCCTGAGTAGCTAGGATTACAGGCGTGAGCCACCAGCACCCTGCTTTTTTATGGCTTTTATACTTAAGTCCTGATGTGAGTGATTCACAGAATCATTGCTGATTCTGTGAGATAATCTTCTAAGGTAACATAGTACATGGATCCTTAACTAATTCTTCTCAGAGTTACTACACAGTAACAACTACACCCGAGCCAGGCCCTGCTGGTCACAACTGTAATCCTACCTTCTCAGTAAGCTAAGGTCTGAAGCATGAAGCCAGCTCAGGCAGAAAAGTCCATGAGACTCTCATCTCCAATGAATCAGCAACAAGCTGGGAGTGGAACTGTGACTCAAGTAGTAGAGAGTCAGCTCCCCCATCCAAAAAATAGTTGCACCCACAGAGCCAAGTAGTACAGCTGTAATTCCAATACTCAGGAGGCTGAGTCAAAAGGGTCATGAATTTGAACCTGCCTGAGCCAGTGACCCTGTCTCAAAACAAACCAAACAGCCGGGCGCTGGTGGCTCACGCCTATAATCCTAGCTACTCAGGAGGCTGAGATCTGAGGATCAT